CAGGAAAGGGGGTTCCTTGTGGACAGTGTTACAATTGGGACCAGGAAAGGGGTTCCTTTGTCGACAGTGTTACAATTGGGACCAGGAAAGGGGGTTCCTTGTCGACAGTGTTACAATTGGGACCAGGAAAGGGGGTTCCTTGTCGACAGTGTTACAATTGGGACCAGGAAAGGGGGTTCCTTGTCGACAGCGTTACAATTGGGACCAGGAAAGGGGCTCCTTGTCGACTGTGTTTACAATTGGGACCAGGAAAGGGGGTTCCTTGTCGACAGTGTTACAATTGGGACCAGGAAAGGGGGTTCCTTGTGGACAGTGTTACAATTGGGACCAGGAAAGGGGTTGTTCTGGCCAACAGTGTCACTGTAGTAACGTTTCAATTAATGTGTAATATGTCTTCCCTTTGTTCACCGCCATATAGCTGGAATATTGCTGGGTGCGGCGTAAAACTATACTCACTCACTCCCTTTGTTCATTGTCCATTAGTAGCATTACATGTATATTTTCATGTAATTTCCGGGATCGGGCTTAAATAAGTTGAATAACATGTGCCCAATCCCTTTTAATACTGAATAAGATATGTTCAAACAAACTGTATGGGTTTACGCCCTGTTCCACGAAGCGATCGTAACGTTAACACAGTCGTAACTCCCATAACACAGTCGTAACTCCCATAACACAGTCGTAACTCCCATAACACAGTCGTAACTCCCATAACACAGTCGTAACTCCCATAACACAGTCGTAACTCCCATAGCACAGTCGTAACTCCCATAGCACAGTCGTACAGTCGTAACTCCCATAACACAGTCGTAACTCCCTTAACACAGTCGTAACTCCCATACTACAGTCGTAACTCCCATAGCACAGTCGTAACTCCTATTGCACAGTCGTAACTCCCATAACACAGTCGTTACTCCCATAACACAGTTGTAACTCCCATAGCACAGTCGTAACTCCAATAGCACAGTCGTAACTCCTATAGCACAGTCGTAACTCCCATAGCACAGTCGTAACTCCCATAACACAGTCGTAACTCCCATAACACAGTCGTAACTCCCATAACACAGTCGTAACTCCCATAGCACAGTCGTAACTCCCATAACACAGTCGTAACTCCCATAGCACAGTCGTAACTCCCATAACACAGTCGTAACTCCCATAGCACAGTCGTAACTCCCATAGCACAGTCGTAACTCCCATAGCACAGTCGTACAGTCGTAACTCCCATAACACAGTCGTCACTGTCATAACACATTCGTAACTCATCTGTAATCCAATAGCACAGTCGTAACTCCCATAACACAGTCGTAACTCCCCTTAACACAGTCGTAACTCCCATAGCACAGTCGTAACTCCTATAGCACAGTCGTAACTCCCATAAAACAGTCGTTACTCCCATAACAGAGTCGTAACTCCCATAGCACAGTCGTAACTCCCATAGCACAGTCGTAACTCCTATAGCACAGTCGTAACTCCTATAACACAGTCGTAACTCCCATAACACAGTCGTAACTCCCATAGCATAGTCGTAACTCCCATAGCACAGTCGTGACTCCTAAGCACAGTCGTAACTCCCATAGCACAGTCGTAACTCCCAAACACAGTCGTAACTCCCATAGCACAGTCGTAACTCCCATAACACAGTCGTAAATCCCATAGCACAGTCGTAACTCCCATAGCACAGTCGTACAGTCGTAACTCCCATAACACAGTCGTCACTGTCATAACACATTCGTAACTCCCATAGCACAGTCGTAACTCCTATAGCACAGTCGTAACTCCCATAAAACAGTCGTTACTCCCATAACACAGTCGTAACTCCCATAGCACAGTCGTAACTCCTATAGCACAGTCGTAACTCCTATAACACAGTCGTAACTCCCATAACACAGTCGTAACTCCCATAGCATAGTCGTAACTCCCATAGCACAGTCGTGACTCCTAAGCACAGTCGTAACTCCCATAGCACAGTCGTAACTCCCATAACACAGTCGTAACTCCCATAACACAGTCGTAACTCCCATAGCACAGTCGTAACTCCCATAGCACAGTCGTAACTCCCATAACACAGTCGTAACTCCCATAACACAGTCGTAACTCCCATAGCACAGTCGTAACTCCCATAGCACAGTCGTAACTCCTATAGCACAGTCGTAACTCCTATAACACAGTCGTAACTCCCATAACACAGTCGTAACTCCCATAGCACAGTCGTAACTCCCATAACACAGTCGTAACTCCCATAACACAGTCGTAACTCCCATAGCACAGTCGTAACTCCCATAACACAGTCGTAACTCCCATAACACAGTCGTAACTCCCTTAACACAGTCGTAACTCCCATACTCTAACGTAGACCTAGTGCAGTCGTAACGCTGTAATCGCATGGTGGAACAGAACCTCGGTGCTGATAGTTTCCTGGTCGCCAGTGTTGCAAAAGAGGTCAGAGTTCCATGAAGCGAGGTTGGCGCTAGTGGACTTGGCTACCATAATGCCATGTTTGTAGGTTCCAGAATGGAATGGTATCGCGGGTGTGCATGTGGTGCGTTTGTTCTCCCTTGTAACGGGAATCGCGAGACATCCATCTATAAATGGAGGTTTAGTCTCTATTCGCCTACATCCCATTTCGCATACAAAAACAATGTAGACTAATTGGGATTAGAAAATGCACCCCTACTCTTATAATGAATCTGACTCACTGGTCAGTATCTTTCAAATTATCCTTACTCTTCTAGAAATTACTTTTTAAGGACACACATTTTGGAAAAAGAAAGCATGAATGGATTAAACATGTTTTTGACGAAATTGGACTTGGTTATATCTGGAATTCCCAAACTTTTGAACATTTGAATAAACTAAAAATGACAGTTAAATGTAAACTAGAAGATGCGTATAAACAAGTGTGGTTGTCTACAGGGAACATTCATCAAAGGGTGTCTTATATAGCTCCTTAGCTAACTGAGATTTAAGTTTGAGTAAATGTTTGAATATTTTAAATGATAATTGTTCAAAGGCATTGTTACGTTATGAAACAGCAATTCATAACTTACCCATTGAAACAGGCCGCAGGAGCAATATTCAAAAACGTGATAGAATATGTAAACTTTGTGATGGTAACGATATTGAATAATGAATTTCATTATTTATTTATTTGTTCTCACTTTATATATGCAAGAATTAAACATTTATCACTGTAAAATACTCAGTTGTTATAACGATATGTAGTTGAGTAAAGAGGATTGAATGCATCCACTAAGAAGTTCAAACAAGGTTATAATAAAATACTCAGTTCTCTGCTACAAACAGGCTTTAAACCAACTTAACCATTATAAAATGTTGCATTCGCCAAGCACTGACAGTCATAATGGCTAACCTGCAGAGGTTCATCTCGTCTCAGAGTGAGTTTAGTTTAACGCCGCACTCAGCAATATACCAGCTATATGGCAGCGGTCTGTAAATAATCCAGTCTGGACCAGACAATCTAGTGATCAACAGCATGAGCATCGATCTGTTAACCAAGTCAGTGAGTCTGACCACTCGATCCCGTTAGTCGCCTCTTACGACAAGCATGGGTTACTGAAGATCAATATTCTAACCCGGACCTTCACGGGTTTGTTGTCTCAGAGAGGAGGAAGACAGGTACTACATGATGGCCACAAGTATCAACTGAATGTTGTGAGACAGGTAGCCACACTTGGAAGTGCGTCACAGATAAATATAAAGGTTAGTGCAGTACCATTGGTGACCACGTGTCTTCCGTCACAGAGCACAGGCACCCTCCTCTGACGAATGAAGAAGAGACCAGACTCCTCACCAGACTGAGACAATGTGTTCGTGATGAAGTGAGAATGGACATCCGTACAAGCAAACTTCCTTAACACTAATGTGATATGATGTTATATGATGTGACATGTGAATATCATTGTGATCGGAAAATGACAAATGACAGAGTAAATAACTAACAGACAAATAACAGAAATAACTGTAGTCGACATGGGATGTAGGCGAAATGAGAACATGCCGTAAATGGGTAACGAGGTGCTGTTCCACCTGCAGCACACGCCCCTAGCCCGATCAGATCTAGTCATGGTAGCCGTTATGTTTAAAATAACCGGTAACACGTGGTGTACAGGTATAGACTGACTGACTGAGTTTGGTTTTACGCCGCTTTTACCAACATTCCAGCAACATCACGGCGGGGGGACACCAGAAATGGGCTTCAAACATTGTACCCATGTGGGGATTCGAACCCGGGTCTTCGGCGTGACGAGCCAACGCTTTAACCATTAGGCTACCCCACCGCCCCGTACAGGTATAGAGGAAACATTGATTTTAACGCTTCTATGAAAAAACAAGCCCTATCCGGCACTTCAGAAAAACTCCGAATCCTTTCGATATTGTTTCCTCTGCATGCACTACATAGATCATTCAAGCCAGAGTAGACTTACATGGCAGTGTATATGCGTGATCCCAGCGTTCGTATTCATACACTAAAAACTAAAGGTTTAGTTCATGCGTCAAGTGAGTGAGTGAGTTTGGCTTTACGCCGCTTTTATCAATATTCCAGCAATATCACAGCGGGAAACACCAGAAATGGGCTTAACACATTGTACTCATGTTGGGAATCAAACCCGGGACTTCGGCGTGACGAGCGAACGCCTTAACCACTAGGCTCCCCCCACCGCCCCTCATGCGTCAAGATGTTTGTTTGCGGTTTAACATCTCACTCAACACTACAGTCATATGACGTCGGCCTGTAAACAATCGGGACCAGACAATCCAGTGATTGATTCTGTGAGTAACGAAACACATCGTCGTTGTGCTATGACAGAATCAGGAAGATTCTATCGTCATCACCAAACCATTTGGTCGCCACTTTAGACCACCATAGGCTGCGTAGGTCCAACTGTAACCGAAATCTCTCAAGACGTCGAAGGTTTGCTGTGTATAAAACCATCAATGTTGTGGCTGGTGCCGAGAACTGAGAACAACACGGAGAATTACAGTTTAAGTTTTATTGAGAAAGCTCGCATGATTCAGTGGTATTTACAAATATTGTATAAAGATATAGATGTCGTATAGAGCTGTGATTGGTTTCCATGGGAACAAGGCACAGGCGGTGACGGAAACAAAGTGGACAGTATTGATCCAAACTTGAAATACACGTGCATGTTTCCAACAACTAGTTAAGAAAAAGATAATTTTCAAAAGAAACTGATTCGCTTTTGATTTCTATAATTTTAGACCGTTTGTATTTTGTGTTTAATACTTTCACAAAAATAGGCGGACGCAACAGCTTTTATCCACAAAACACCATTAAATAAACAGCATATCTGCACCATGAAGGAATTACAAGGATTATAAGTAGTCGTACGTCTCCTGTTTAATACTTAGAAATAATACATCGACATGTAACGTGTGAACACTTGTCCTCGATTGTTAATTCGTAGAAATGAAAAAGAAATCTTAGAGTTACCTCTTTATCTACTGAGCATGCCCGACTGACAGGAAGTACCGACTGAGAAGTTGACGCACTGATTCATGTTCACACAATATCCTTTTTTCACCATATCCTATTGTGACTTGAGAAACTTACTTCGTCAAGTAGCTGTAACTCAACAGGTTATGTACAAACTCAACATCTTTATTGAAGGGCATGGACCTTAGTAAATGTTGACTGGTATTAACACGGGGCATCTCGATGTTATCACAGTTTGGGGGACAGCTCCAATTCTGAGCTCAGAAACTAGGCGCTCATCTCTGAACTTCATGACCACTGTAGAAAAGAGAGGCACTCCGGTGTTGAAGGCAAACGACTGTAGGCCTATTTAATACACAAGGGCGAGTTGACTATTGACCCCAGTGCGGCCAGTTGGACCCGATGCTTCTAAGGTAAAACCATGGACGTATGTTATATTTCCCTGACAACTTACAACATGGACGTAACAAGTCATTAAACATCTTTATGAAAATATATTTTCGACGGAATGTTTAGTCTGTGAATAAAACAAAAAAACTGATGAGCGACACAAAGCCTTGGGTCAATAAATGATTAAAGAAATGACTCAGGATTTTACATATATACTGGAATTGTATCCATTCGTGGTCCCTTATACTGAACAATATAGCATCATGTGACTAGTCACGTGAGCCTATGGTCTCAATGTTTCAATCTGTGCTTAAGACACAGTGTTCCATCATATTGAGGCACAAGCAGCCCACAGCATGTAAAAAACCGCGGTACAAGGATTTACACTACAGGGACACATTGTATAGCATGTACACCACAAACCTTCCGCCCCATACGTAGGAACGATTCCCTTCTGAAACGTCTATCACCATTTCCTCTAAGACAGTACAGAGACCGTCTACAGCTACAAGGAAAGTCGGGACACCAGGGAAACTGGTTCCAGTAGCAGATGAAGGTCAGATGAAGGTCATATCATTTTGGCATTTACGTTTGATCAAGGTGAAATATAGAACAATATTGCCCCGTCTACCTACTAATGATGCAATGCGATGATGCAAGAACTGATGTATCCACACATTGCCCTTTCAGATAAGCATCTTAGATTATGAGAGCCTAAACATATTCAGGGAAGGACAATGACTTGGTGTACTAAAGCACAATCTGCTTACATGCTGTGAACAAGACTGGAGGTTTGGGGGCACAATTTAAGAATTGTCCTTTGATCTATTTTCAACCAATTTCACAAAGGGAAACAAGCACAAATCAATAGGATAGGAAACCCAATGGCATTTGATATAGTAGTATATACATATACACACACAGCGTAGTCCATAGAGAAACCAGTGAATGACGTCTTGTTCTCCGACATATATTAATCCTTTGATTATGATTATCCTCCAATACCACGGAAGGATTATCCTGTAAAACTCATGCAACGTCTAAATCCGCTTCCTAAAGGTTGGGGAGATAATCCGAGACAATGTCCCTGAAGTGGACGTCATTAACATCTGATTAATTTCCACACGACGTCATCAACAAGGCGTGTATTTGTCGTACAAGGTCCTTTACGAGTACAGTTTATATACAATGGCATCTGATGCCGCTTGGAGATCAAGGTGAAGGTCCGGTCGAGGTCAGCATCTGCTGGTGTGGTCCAGAGCTGATAAATACCATATATTAGTACTGAGATCAAATGCACCCGCCGACTAGGTTGGACCGAGGCGGTCACCTGTGTGACTTGTCCATCTCTCACAGGTCGTGTAGCATACTGCTTTATGGTCGCCTGGAGGCCCTCGGATAATGATAACATAGTCTTGCATAGTTAAACTCTTAATGCGCCTCACAGAGGAAAAGTTAATGGTTGCCTTTTAAACAGGCAAGCAACGCGGTCGTAATTACGGAGGCAAACAATATGGATGCCCTTACTGCCGCACCACAAGAGTCTGTTCGAAAGCTCGCACCTGGTCTCGGACGATACTAGGCCATCGGCACGGAGGAAGCTTTTTACGTATTGAACGTCTATAGTACATGTCCAGATACTCCACAACGCCGCGAAGTACATCTTAGTTCAACTTAGTACAACTTAGGTACAGCGTAGATACAGGTTGGTTTCAACATGGACAAAACTTCGTATCCTGGTGAGACATTCGTCGTTGATAATTGACGACATTGCGGGCAAAAGGATTCCAGTCTTGCGGTTCTGAACGTGGCCTACCATACCACCTCGTGGAGTTCATGAATATGAAGACATTACCACACACATATGTCCAGTAACTAGAACCGAGATATTTCACGGCTCTCCAGGAATCTTTACCAATCTAGAGTGACGTCTTCAGTGAAAGTAGTCCGGCAGTGAGACGGGGAGTCTGTCAACCCCCTAAATGTCAGCGCCCTCTATATCTACCAGATTCTTGAGCATGGTTTTGGCAAACAACATCCTTTCAATGATTTCCGGTCGGCAGCCATCTTGGATGATATGGACAATGCTGAAGGTCTTAGCAAGTCTTTCCGGGTCAATAAAGGTCACAAGATAATCGTTGTTGTGATAACTCAGAATTATCTTCGTGTGGTCATCGAAAAAGTTCACCTGAAAAAATAAGTCAAATTTTGAAATATCCGAATTACACAAAACCATAAGAAGTAAATGTGAAGAAGAAAGACAATAGAGGCAAGATTTAAGATCTCAAAATGTGAAATTAAAATATTGCATGGATTTGTTTTTCTGATGTACTGTGTGTGTATTCATTTGTATGAACATTGTAAACGATCATAAAACTAACATACTAATATAGGTTCAGCCAAGAACTATCCAAACAGGTGGCGCTTGCGCAGCTTCCCTAGAGAAAATGGCTGCCCTGAAAGCAGGCTAGACGCGACTGAAATGGGGATTCGTTGGTCAGATTCAGCGTATTGGATCTATCACCGTAGCCAAACACATGATCCAAACAAACCAGCTGAGGTGAGATGAGGGTGAAATAGGGTTTTACGTCGTGCTTGAGAATATTTCGCTCATATGATGACGTGCATGCGTGTGTATGTGTATGTGCGGCTGCTTGTACTAGCCCAGACTTAAGCTGGTTTTATAGTGCTAGCCCACTGAGATACCGCAGTGAAGCATGAATACCCCACTCAGACCCAGACTCCGTGCCGACCAGTCCTTGTTGTACCCATTAATGCCGAGCGCCAGGCAGGGACCAACAAGTACCATATTTTAACGTCTTTAGGTATGACGCAGTCGGGGATCGAACCCGCGACCTTCCGCTCTAACCACTACACCACGGAGGTGGTCCCAAACAAACCAAACAAGGACTATATGATGTTCGTCTATCTACACAGTGGTGGTGTACCTGCAGTGTCCCGTCGCTGAGGTACAGGACGATGGCCTTGGTGGTGCGGAACCACTTCTTGAGGTAGAGACTTCCAGACCAGGAGCGCATGGCTCTCAGTTGAGCGATGTCCCCACCCTGGATCAGGTGCTCGTCCATGTAGCGGGCGAAATACTGCAGCAGGGTTGTCTTCCGCTCCAGGTCCTCGGGAATACACTCAGTGGAGAAGGCCGACAACTTGCCAGTCAGGTCGAAATACTGCACAGCTCTGAAGAGGAACGAGACGCTACAGTCGCTGATATTCCACTCCTAACTTCAGTTAACATTTCATTTCTATTCTTTGTAATAACACATAATATTTCCCATATATTTTTAAATAAGAAATTCAGAGAAAACGTTCCTAAATATGACCATCTGAGACTGTACTGTGACTATATGTAAGCACACGTGTCCACATACACTGCTTCACATCCATGTTCCTAACTGGCGACATAACGGGTGGAGACAGGAACGGGCCAGAAACACTCACTATGGAATCGAACTGCATCCTTCCCTAATACTCCCTATCCTTCACTACCACAACGCGAGGCTACTTCTAAATCGTGTACTGGCTGTATACATCTACAGACATACTATGTTCGTCAGGAACGTACACCATGGAATTTGAAAACCAGGGTCTATGTGTATCACTGAGGTATTGTGACAACCTACACACTGTGCCCAGGTTAAACCACCAGTATCACTGCATTTACATTATATACATTGTGCATTTCTATAGAAGTACATTCATGTCACGTCACAGGGCATCCCAGTCCACAAATTCTGATTTTCTGTATAAATGGTCAATATTTATTCCTCGATGCTCGTTACGTTTCTATTTGTATGGTTCACGCTGGAGCAGGCCGTGGTGACAAGTGGCTGCAGAGTAATCACAAATAACAGACAGAACTGTTTGGCTAAGCTACGTCAACACGAAGACAATATCATTTTGACAGACAAGAGGTCATACATGGATCAATACAAGTTGTGAAACACCTGAACAGATAGCGTTATTAACGGGTCATTAAGGGCAGGTGACGTCGCGCTAGAATAAACGAGAGTTGGTCTGGTGATCAAAGGATGATGGCGTAGCTGGCTAAACGTTCCACTACATTAATACGGGGATGAACATAACTCGGCCACAGGGGAAAACGCACGAGGTGACACTGCGCGGAGACCTCTCGCGAGATTGCATCCCCTCGAGACAACAAATTGTGACGTCATATGACATTCCCAAGATGTGCGTGTTTACCAAATGCTGACAAACAAAATGGTTTAATTTGTCGGATAAATTGAAAGCTGATATTATCGGTAGGTGTTCAAGACTTCAAGGTTGATTGGCAAGGTCAATCCTGAGTATGTATATTTAATAACATGAACACTATGCAACACTTTACACGTTTTTCATCGGTTTGAATAATCCGGATATCTGTATCAAAAGTTGAATACGACCTTAGGACTTTTAAATAATAAGAGATTCTGTACTATTTCCAATGGTTCGAAAATTTGTCGTCAGAAAATACATCGACCAGAGCATTTGCATCAATAATACAAAACTGTATATCTCACCACAACGGGTATCCAGATAATTGGGTTCCACATGGACTTTGCGGCTTGCACGGTGTTCAGTTCGACTCATAGATACGATTTATCAAAACAAAGATGATTTGTCATCATCTATTTTATTTACAGAAGCGTCTGGTTTTGACAACTCACCTGCCGTCAGGTGCCAGGAGGATACGGGAAGTGTCGTTGAAGAGCACTCCGATGGCGTCGTTGGAGAGCTGGAAGCCGAAGCCGTACTTGTTGCTGTAGTCTACCCATTTGGTCACCCACATGACGTCGGTGTCCGGGAGAGACGTGGGGTTGCGGTCAACGTCTGCTGGGAGGGGGATAGACGAAACAACTGAATAACGGCAACCAGGTCATACGGTGAGCTTAACAAACGATCTCTTTTACTCAGACACAGAGGTAATCTGGTGTTTAAAGCCTCTTTAAAGGTATTCTAGAAAGTCGTCAGTTTACGGTGTCTCCGTTGTTAACGTAGCAATATTTCAACATTCCAGATGCCTGTGAAAAGGTCGAGTTTTGACCACAGATTGGTGTTGTGAGTGACCACATCGTACTTCGGGTACAGTGACACACACTCCATCAGGTCACCGATCTTGACCGCCCGATCCATCTTGTCGAATCTGACAACGATTGGTAACCCCAAGGGCCGTTTAATGAGGGGGAACCGTGTACAGTAGACATATCAGGTGGGCCCCCACAGCAAGACTACCACTGTGATGCCCGTGCACAACGAAACCACACTGTACCCATACGCCACAGAGTAACGAGTGAGTTTAGTTTTACGCCGCTTTTAGCAATATTCCAGCAATATAACGGCAGCCCCCAGAGTCCACGAAGAAGGTATTACTGTCGAGTATCCAGTTTACTGTTTAAGGTTTAAATTGTTTAGGTTTAAAGAATAGACTAAGAAGTTGAAACAGTATTTGTATATAGTCAACTTTTTGCTTTTGTTAATTATGCTACAGATGCTTTACGCGACTACCTTTTGGCATGTGTTCCAGACAGGTGTTGATGACGTCAAGCAGAGTGACTGCAGAACGGGGATTGGGGGACGGAGCTGAAACAGACAGTGTGACTTAATATAGGCACAATTTAATGTTGTATTTATTGTGTTTTAGCGGTTTCATTAGTACTGTAATGTTTTGTTTATTACATGGGCACGTGTTTGTTATGGTGGTATTCACCTCGGTGTTGCGGCGGCGAATCTGAGCGGTCCATGGAAATGACGTCAACAATTACTTCCTTCACTGACGTCTTCACTGCGGGACTAGCCTCAGTCACCATGTGTTGGTCGCGACTCGCAGTCAGTGGCTGGCGGTCGTAACACACCTGATACAGGAACAACTCATTGTTATTTATCACATTTTCAACAAATTCTAAAAAATAGGAGAAAAAAAGCCAAACCCTTGATAAAATTTCTAATTAGCTTGGACAAGATCAGATTGATTGTTATGTATCAAATTTTCAAAAACTTCTAAAACAATACATAGTGGTATTGAGAAGCCTGGAGATGTGCACTGGGTCTGTAAACAAAACAGTGTAAGTAAATGCCAGGTAGGTAGTGTTATGTCACCCCCTCGGGTGACTAATGTTGCGATGAGCTGTGGGTACACTATCCTCGGACTGTACAAATTAACTCCGTTACAGTACTTAACTTAATTAAATCAAATAAACTTCAATTTGTTTTTTTAACCTTTCTTAAATTTCTGACCGGTCCACGAGACGAGAGGCCTTGCATCATGAAATGCCAAACAATGATATTTACACAGAACACATACACGCCAGTTATTTGCCCGAGATTTAGAAAATGCGTTAATTGTACAAATAGACTGCTACGTGAGAGTGCTGAAGGTTTGTTTGGGACTGGAACTACAGGCGGGCCGAGTACTGGAGATCTGGACCCCTTGTTTGCAGTCGGCACAGCCAGGGACAGACGATATCGTGTTTTGTCCAGTCCCAACACGTAAGGTATTGCGTGGGGGCTACTCACAATGGAGCGGGGGGCTATACTCTGCCCCTATCTATTTGTTCTAACCTTTGCACATGCACTATAAATATGCCAACAGCAGGTCAGACCCATTGATCTAAATAAGCTCAAAGAAACATTATGTCATGAGGAATGTTGCAGCAAGACCCCAAGGTTGGGGCATCTGTATTTAGAAGTTGATAACGCTGTTGAATTATCGGGGATACTTGCCTCGCTTTCCTTATCGGGGATGATTGTTTCTGACGTTCCCTTCAGTTGGATCTGACTCAAGGCATTGCCAAGTTTACCCATGGCATCGTTCTTGGTATCGGGAACTGCATAGGACAGTGGTCTGAAAACAGATTACGTCTGGTCAGAAACAAACAGATTGCATCAGGGCAAGGACGAGTCTATGGAAATAGCACTGGAGTGTCAACTTCACCTTCATACAACTCTTGGTTATTTACAAATAGTCTAGGTCTGGCAACTTACAGCGAATTAGAGTGATGCGACTCACCACCACTACTCAAGACATCTAGCAAGACATTATTACTGGACCCTGACCAACAAAACGTTCGTAGCGCTACGACATTCGTAAGCCAATGAAAAACTATAGAGTTACGACAGCTCGTAACGTTACGAACGCTTACAGTGTTACTAAAGCACATCAGTACAAATACATTCCATGTACAGTGTACTGGAAACAAAAGGGAACCACCAAACTATTTACACGTACAATTATTTCATTGTTCATAAATCACTGTTTACATAATGGTGATACAGTAGTTTCATCGGTTTGAGCAGCCAAACAAAATGAGAATCCGGGGCACTGTCGCCTTGACAGATGTGAAGCACATATTCCACATCAAACAGTCTGGGGTCAGATGGGGTTCCTCTTTCCCACACATCTTAATGCAAAGAAAGATGCACAACAGATTCTGGCAGACTGCACAATAGCCACACAGCCCCGATATTGCGGGCACAATAGAGGACCCTAATCGGGCAGGCTGGCCCTGTTGGGACGCAGTGAACCTTAGCCCTCTTATCCGTGTATGCATTGGTCAGGTCATGCAGCCTTGTCCCCATGTCACGCCTGTCGTTCTTATTTATCATGGGAAAATGTAGCTGAAGATTCGTTCTATTGGAAATCTTTCCCTTGGCTAAATCCAGGCTTTGTGTTCTCCATGCTTATCATTGGGTACAATTTTAATGAAATGGTTCGAGGCAAGAGAGTGTCCCTAAATGATGTGACATTTGCAAACACAAAGAGTGTCCATACTTTTGGATCTTAAAAAGACCATAGTTGAAATTAATGATATGGGAGATGGTCAGCAGTGTCACTTCGGCTTAAATATTTAATGATAAAAATAATAATGGATATTTCACATTTCAAAATCAGGTCCTTTAACAAACACTAACAGCACCTACCACACAACTCCTATGAGCTCGCTCACATGGCGTTGTGACATATGGGTATTAAAATGGATATTAATTTATCATTATGATCTTGTTTGTTGTAGGGTCTGCGTCTGGGAGCTCACGTGCCAATAATACATGGCTAGCTCATGTTTTCTCAGGGCAACCACGTACTGTATTAAGGTCAGTGTGTACTAATTAACTACGTTATCGACTAGCGTGTCCGGCCCAGTCAGAGCAGTATGTAAATCTGATCAAGAAGTGATATGACAGCACTATAAATCAATGCATTCATTACACCTGACATCCCAGTGTCTCGGCGCCTCTACAGGCCTGTGTCAGTTCTCCCCAACAAACACTGCCCACTGTCAATATTTGATACAAGTCATCACACATCCATGCTGGTGTATATCACTTCCTGCTACAATAGTAATGCATTACAGATATCCACTCCTACTTCGGTCTACCGCAGTTAACTGAACAAGCAACTGTGATTCTTCAGCAAATGTTACCAAAACATAACAATCTCATTTCTGTAAAGGCGAACTTGAAGTAAGGACATCCTGCTCTGGTTATTGCCATCTTCTTGGGTCGTATGGGCGGTGGGGTAGCGTAGCGGTTAAAGCGTTGGCTCGTCACGCCGAAGACCCGGGTTCGATTCCCCACATGGGCACAATGTGTTAAGCCCATTTCTGGTGTCCCCCGCCGTGATATTGCTGGAATATTGCTAAAAGCGGCGTAAAACTAACTCCGTCAGTCAGTCTTGGGTCGTATAAGAATTTCTCTGCTATCCCAAGTTCGTTTTTGCACTTCTAGTGGTATATTTAATACTTCCCTTACGGGGATAAACACTGGGTCATTAATACCCTACACTTCTGACTTCGCTATAACAGGAGCTGACTTTTGAACTTGGTAAATAACCAAGTAGAAGTTCTTTTATGCCTAAATAAAAAGCAAGATCCCTAGGTACGCTACCCATGTTAGGGTAAATGCCCACCTATTGAACTTCGTGTATACTGGGAACTTTGGCACGGTAGAGCAGGCGGATGGCGAAAGGTTACGAGGCATGTAGCCACAGGTGAAGTATTCATCCGCCAACAGGTCGTCCAGTGTGGGGCGCTTGGCGGGGTCGGGCGACAGACACTTGCGGATTAGGTTTTTGGCCGAGTTGGAAAGACTGCTGGGTAGTGTGTACGAATTCTCTGTGATCCTCAGGTACGTCTCCTTCAACGTGGACGTCTCGAACGGAGGTCTCCCCACCAGCAAAGCATACCTGCGTCATACACAACAGAGGTTAACTGAGAGCCTATTGCCAGACAAACCTGCTGCATATACAGCTAAATGTAGGCTGATAAAACAACAAATCACATACTCAACCCCCATTATATTAACCATAACGTATCTTGGACAAAACGTAGGCTGATACAGCAGCATATCACATACTTTATCCCCTTCATATTAACCATATTAAACGTATTCTGGAATTCTGTTTAAATGAACATATTGTTAACTATCCCCAAGTTAACGGGATGTCATTAACACAAAAAATCATGTGAGATATCCAATATCAGCATATTTAATGCATAGTATGGTCTAGGGTATGAATAAGTAAGTGGTATGCATACATTATACATCCAACTGCCCATATATCGGCTTCAAAACTGTGGCCTTTCTTCTGGAGGACCTCGGGAGCAATGTAGTTGGGCGTGCCGCACACCGTCCTGCACAAAAAGTACATTGATGTGTAAAAATATTGAAGCATCTGAATTGGCATTTTACGAAGAAAATGTAATACCAAACACAACATGGTACATATGTTATGAAGTCAGGAAAAGAAGAAACATCAAGTTCAGTACAATTGTACAGGGTGACAATTGTCCTGTCATGGGCTTTAGAATGAGGGACCGGAAGTGACGTTCTAAGATTCATTTGATACGTACATTTTCTTTTCCCCGGCAAAGTCAATCCTAGTAGCCAGACCAAAGTCGGCTATCTTGAGTTCCATGCTCTCGTTAAGTAGCATATTGCCCAGCTTCAGATCACGGTGGATGATATTCTTGTCATGGATGTACGTGGCACCCTCAACTATGTGCTTCAAATAATATCGCACTTCCGGTTCTGTCAGTGTCTTCCTATGTTTGAGCACGTGCACCAGCGACTGAGGAACATAAATGCAGATACACGATAAATACACAGAACAAATAATAGTGCATTTTACAGAACGCTAAAACTCCATGCTGATGTATGCTGGAACTATTATCATATCATAACAGAATCAATATGTATTCTATTCTCATCCTCTGCTCTGTTAAGCGTATACAATTCAATGCCTGTAAGGCACCGGAAGGTAACAGTCACCAGTACCAACTCATGCCGATAACCCGCCGATATTTCCGGTTGGTATTCGCCTATATTCACCTAACAGTCACCTGGCAGCAGTAACACCACAAGTAACGTGTTTCGGTGGACAGCCCTAGAACCACTGTCACCCACTTTATTTAGTGTTAACTGTTTGTTTTGAAATAAGTTATAACCAAGCATTGTGTTTCGTCAAACAATTAATTCATTTATGGTCTTATAACACATGGAGCATTCACGACCCCTCGGAGGTGTGTTTGTGTTTTGTGAGCGTGTGTGACTGTCTTCAAACATTTTACACAATTGGAGATTACAACCCCAGGTCTTCGCCGTGACAAGCACACAGGTGGACCACCTTACTGCTTCCTTAACCAGACAGTCTGGTGTCAAGGGCAACTAGCGCGATCGCGGTTAACTCTGAAGACATGATAAGGCTGGTGGGAAATGTTAGGTTTTGACTGCGAGTAGAACACCGGTCTCTGATGTAGGTATTGCCTGCTATGTCATAGGCCACGAGTAAAGGTCACATTCGGTGCAGGTGCTCGTTTGACCTCTCAGTGACCCTACAAACCCCACCCTCTGTGCAATGTTACGAAACGTGACCTCTGCCCTCATGTTGGTAGGTAGAGACTGTTGCTGGGTGTTTTTATGTCAGAGGGAGGACTCAAGCTGTCCCTGTCATCCACACAACAGGAACATGTTGGCCGATGAACATTTCCAGTGTTAAAAACACGATCTTCCTTTAGCATCGGTTTCTTAGAAACAAACGAGAAACGACCTTTTCATCATGTTCGTTTCATGTTTGTTGAGAAGAGCCGTGCAAGTTGTGGTATGGTTTAGGACAGATGTTTGTTGGGAAGGGCCGTGCAAGTTGTGGTATGGTTTAGGACAGATGTTTGCTGGTCTAACCCTTCATTGACACACAGTTTAATACGTGTGGACATCACACTCCACTATGCATCTGCGCTTCGAAAATATTTTATCCAAAATTTCAATCCCCATTTCTGTAAAAGATCTGAACTCAAACAGAAAAGGATGGCATAAAACCAAACGACGAGCTAGCAAACAACAACTGCCCCAGTGACGCCTTTAGCAGCGTCTTGCTGTCAGCTCGGAGCGGGGTTTGTGGCACGATCAAGAGGAACTATTTGCTCATGTTTGCGGAAGAAGACAAGATGGGCTTTGTTCCGGCAGAAACAGCAAGTTTGCTCACTGATTCCTGGAATTCCTTCGCCGTAGACAATCTGACCTTACGACTTGGACCACAAGAGAAGACGGGGCTGTAGATGGACACCTCAAGGTTAGAGGGGGAGGAGTCCAAATGGCTTAAATAGTTTTGCTCAAAACACAAACTTGAGTTACAGAAGCAGGATTATGCGAGAATTAGTTGGGCCTTTTGTCTACAACAGATGGTCTCTGTGAGCAGGTGGCACAGACCGGCATCAACCCTGTCTCTGTGTAGCCCGTCACATACAGCAGCATACTGCCTGCCCTGCGTCGTTATTGAAAAGTATGTTTTTCTTATGAAACCAGCTCTATTAAACAGCATCAAGAAAAACTTATAGAATGGATAAGTGAGTGAGTGAGTGAGAGTGATTTTAGTTTAACACCGCTTTTAGCAATATTCCAGCAATATCACGGCAGGGGACACCAGAAATGGGCTTCACACATTGTACCCATGTGGGGAATTGAACCCAGTTCTTCGACGTGATGAGCGAACGCTTTAACCACTAGGCTACCCACCACCCTAGGATGGATAAGTATTGTATAATAATATAATAAAAGACTTCAGACTTCATATGTTAATCAATATACTTCATGATATACTTGTTAAGACGACAATGTTCGGTTCGCTAAACACGCTAGGATTGGGCCATATTGTGTGCCGGTTACTAAACGATGTAAGAATATATATACAAGTGTTTTGGTGTAAGTGAATTCCCGGGACTACAATACTGGTATTGAAATGTAATGAGTCACATCCGTGAGAATTTCCGTATATCTACCCTTAATAAACCCAGTCCCTTTCCCACAGAGTATAATGGTATCTGCCAATAGACGCGGCCCCCGTATACCTACCCACCACACCGACATACGAGCACGGAGGAAATAATAACTTTCTGATGAGTCATGACGTAATTATCCACACGCCTGTAAAAGAGGTGATAAAACCTATCATACACATATTTGTTGGCAGATAATATCTCACAAAATTGCAGAAAATTCCGTCACGCTATAAAAACAGTATCACGTTGTCTAAAAATAGACATTATTCAATGCAACGGCTTTCATTCAGCGTCTCGGCTTTGTCTCCGGTCACGTGACCCACAAAATAACCCACTGGGGACAAACTCCCATCTATAAGGCAACTGTCATTCATTGCATTCCAAACATTCACAGTGTGTTGTTTTAATTCACCCGAGGTTCCTTTAACTGTATCCAGGCTACATATGGCCGCCTCGGGCCATATCCTGTGGTACTTAATATACATTACTGGTTAATCGTCACCGTTCCCGAAAACACATGACACGTGACCTCGCCTGTACATGACGATTGGTACACGTTGTTCACAGGGTAGCGTGGGACGCCTGCACCAACGACGACCAACCGTTAGGTACTGATATAGGTAGTATTACATATGATTCGGTTTTTTGATGTACCGGGTTATGCAGTAAATGCAATTCGTATTGAGGCCACTGACAATAGAACTGCTGAAGTCATAAAACTGACACGTTTTTCCTTCCTGCTAGCCTTGTCGGCAGTAATCAGTATAAAAGTCAGTGTTAAGACATTTGTACACGTATACTACTCAACAAAGTTAAAGAACATCCCAGTTTCTACATGACTATAGTTAATGTCATGACTGTTAACTAAAGCCATATCAATGAATCAATCAGGTGTTCATAAAACCCCTTGAGTAGTAAATATGGTTCAAGGAGTACTTCCATCTCAGGTGTTCAGTAGAATATATACAGGTTTTCTGGAGGGGTTTTGGGCGTTCAGTAGAATATAAACAGGTTTTCTGGAGGGGTGTTGGGTGTTCAGTAGAATATGAACAGGTTTTCTGGAGGAGTGTTAGGTGTTCTACTTGAGGCATGTTGGGCAGAATATTGTGTGGGGTGGAGCTGTAAATGGTTGGATGCAACGGTTTGTTTGTTGGCAATATTCCAGGTATATAACGGGTGGACCAGGCAATCCAGTGATTGCTACTGTGAGCATCGATCCACGGCGCAGTGGTACTATGATGAAAGACGCCCACCTAGACTAACGTTTAGTCCCTCAATACATATAATGTTGATAGTAACAAATATACCCATTTAAATTGAAAAGGAGCCCCAGTGAGACCAGAGATTCAGATTCCTGAACCTGAGGAAATCTAGACTTGCTTCATTTAGGGCTTTAGCATTGCAGGGAGGGCTAAGCATTGGGGAAAAAAGTATGGTTCAGGTACTGTGGGACAGACTAACACCTACCGAGCATGGTCACCTGAGCCATTGCATTGCCCCTTACGACCAGCAAAGTTTGCTAAGGCTATTCTATCCAGGAATGTGGCGGTGCGGTAGCCTAGTGGTTAAAGCGTTCGCTCGTCACGACGAAGTCCCGGGTTCGATTCCCCACTTGTACAATGTGTGAAGCCCATTTCTGGTGTCCCCCCGCCGTGATATTGCTGGAATATTGCTAAAGGGGTCGTTAAGCCATACACACTCACTCACTCACTCACTATCCAGGAATGGCGACGGAGTTGAAGAGGTATACAAGGATGTGATACGATAGTTGAGGTCGGGTATCGTATCGAAACATTCCGATGGACATACATGTATTAATATTTGAACTATTGGACTTTACTCTTTTCGGTAGATACACATTTTAAAATGAGACAACTTCACTACAAAATACTGTGGTCTCGAGAAACATCAGAGTGAGATAGGAAGATGGGTGATTTGGTTGTAAACAAATACACGAGAAAATACTTGCTGGTAACAAACTACCTTTTTAAAACACATAAACTGGCATGTCATTAAAACGTGTCCTATATCAAGCGGGTTTTCGCGTTACCCCGATATTTGCAGAGCCTGGATGAGGGAGACTGTTGGGCTTACTGTGTTGTGATAATGTTTCGAACAACAACAGTCCAGGAAATAAACCTTAACATCAGCCGCCTACCCTGATTGAATGATAGACGCTCATTCAGTATGCAACTGACGCTAATGTGCTACCCCGGGTGGTGCCAGTCACGAAAAGTCTCGAGGCTGGGAACTTCGCGGCTCGGGTGAGCGCACAAGTCAACGATGTTGCAGACAAAGCTGCGCCGCATCCTCTGACTGGGCCTGAGTGGGGTAAGGGAGACCGGGGGCGGGGGCCGGGGGCGCAGTCAGCTGATAACAGCCCTGGGAGTACCAGGGCATGTCGAGCTCAGCGAGTTGAGCGGGTACCCCATACATCCTTTATATTCCCTAAACGCTGGAATGAGGGGTATAATACAAAAAGTCGTACTTGTAACTGCCCGAGTGCGCAAGATAAACCTCTCAATTGGTGCAAAATTAAACAACAAAAGTGGATGTAGCAAATTTTCACCTGGGTTGCTGGGAAACGTTAACTTCCCATGCAGACGAATGGTTTGTCGAGGCTTGTTGAGCAACAGGGAGGGCATTGTTGGGATTTGGTGTATGACATTTGTTGACTAAATGAGGCAGGTGTTGTGGTATACTGTGAGAGATTTGTAGACTATATGGTGAAACCTACACATGGACAGAGTAGAAATTGGGAGCCCCGAACAAGTTGGGTGGGGTAAGGGTGGAGAGAGGGGCGGACACTAGACCGCCAAAGGCATGTTGTTCCCGGGGTCACTGCACGACTGTGTTTACACATGCAGATAGCGGTAGTAAATGATACCAAGCCACAGCGGCCATTCACAGTCGGGTATTGTATTGGAAGTAAATTACACTCTGACACATGTGTCTCTATTAATTATTTTGGTGTTGAGGTACTAGACTTCCAGCATGTTTCCAGTCAGGTCGTTCACATCAACTGATAAAAACAACGTGACCCGAGCGTCTGGGGACTGGAGCCGAGATTCGCTGAAGAAAGTACGTTGCACGTTGAATAAACGTGCATATTGTATCATCGATAGTGCAGTCATCGACATTTGCAAGGTTGTTTACCATTTCCATCTGAAAATTTGTCGTCTGCTCCCAACACGTGCCGTATTTAAACGCCATCATGCAATGTTGACACTTCTTCAGGTCAAAATTGCTGATGACGCAAATGCAGGTAGACAAGGGTCGGATAAAGCCAGTTTAAAAGCCACCGCGGGAGCCCAGTCATTACAGCGCTGCTAGAAGTTGTGTTCTGATGGCTTAGACGCATCCCCCTACCCCGTGCACAAAACTCGTGCTGTTTGCAGCTGAGCAAACCATGTGATCCCGCGTGTAGCTTGCCCGAAACATTACACCTCCTATGTGTTTGCTAAACCGGGGCAGGGCGGCACGACGCAAACACACAGACGGATGCAGGGGCCATTACGTAAGGAAATCTCAGATACCTGTTTCCTTAAACAATACACGAAGATTTCCCCCCTCAAATCAACCCAATATTAACCACGCCAAGTCCTACAGAGCGGAGCTTATGGTTGTCCGATCCCTGATCATCCATTCGCCAGGTCACGCGACAAACGTTCACGCTGCTGACGTAGCGAGATCTGAGAAATCCACGCGAGATCTTTCTTTAAAGCAGTGTCATGGGTTCGCTCACATCCGACGTGGAAGTGCCAGTATGTACTGACAATAGCCGGATCTATCTACATAAACACCGAGAGCTTGAGCTAAATGACGGAAGCGTGCCTCTGGACGCAATGGTTACCATGGAACCAAATGTTGTAGAATCAGGGTTATACGTCAATCCGGGAACTTGGTGTGATAATTTCCCCATTGAACCTCCAAATTCTCCAACACATGAGTCTAGTTATGCAGCTAATTCCCACGAGGGTGACATGACCTTCAGGCTGCCCAACACACGTGGAGGAAGAACGTCTTAGAAACGTCGTTATCTACGCCGCCATTGACGGCAATGAGTTACTTGTGACGTCCTGTTTTGCAGGTATTTCGATCGATTTGGGTATACATGTGATCTGATCGATCATTGGGTACGTTGTGTCCCACCGGTTTTCATTTACTGATGGGAAATGGTTGGCAGATCATAAGATCAAAACAGTCGAATCGCCATTCAGGTGGCTGTAACAATGAACCATCTGGCAGGTGGCGGAGATATGTCGGAAGTCTGTATATTGAAACTGTTTGATGTTACGCGTTCATTGAGAATCTCACCTTCCTACTGCAGTTCTCCAAAATGATGTATACGTTCTCGTTATCCTCGAAGTAGCTGTGGAACTCCACCACATGCTTGTGTTTCAGGTCCTTCTGGAGCTCCACCTCGCGGACGATCTGGAAACAGAGGCAGACAATAACACGGTGCTCACACCAGACCATAACACACCACTATATCATACATAAATATCAACATTTACATTATGTGCCTACAAGTTAAATCATTGTTACCACTGTAGCTAGGTGACTGGACCCAGAACACGTGGCAGCATATGCCAGATGTGTTTGGGAGGTTTTGTGGCGTCAAGCCAGTTTGTGGACACATTATGACCTGGAATAACTCCAGATGGGAGGTAATACCAGGGCTGCCCGACCAGATCGTATAAACATCCGATGGGCCACATATTCTACTTTCAGCAAGCCAGTCCCCAATATCACCGATGAATATTGTTTGAGTCATAAATAAGAAACGTGTAATATCAAACCATATGATTCATTGTTGAGTAACTGGATGAGAAAGCGACATGGAATAACTAATGTGTTCTGGGGAGTATCACTTTCTCATTCTATAACTCGGTTTTCTATGATAAATCTGGAATATCTAGTTAATGTCATCAACCATTAACATATTCCATGGCAAAGTTGTGATAAAATGACAACCCAAGTATCCGTTTACCGAATGACCGAATAAATAATGACATTCTTCATTCTAACGATGCGATAGTAATTAAACATTTATTCGACATTCACGAACCGTTGTTGATAAAAGATCGTAATTACTTCCATTTTACAAGAAGGCTATTAATTAGACATTGTTTCCGGAATAACCCTGAGATGATTACTAGGCCCAGTGCCGTTGACATTATTTATTTATCAGTGCAATCGTCATAAAAACAGACAGAACGATACTGACACTAAACACAAACATTCAGCGTCAGAATTGGGGGAGGAGGACTCACACTTTCGATGTCCGCCATCACAGTTAAACAACTGCTATTTTGAATCAACCAGGAATCTCTTAAATGTCTTTATTGATACAGCTTTTGTCTGATCCATAACTAAATCATAAACCTGTTTCCTGTTGGATCGAATACCTGCGAATGTCCCTACGCTAATCCTGTTTCAATGTGACCTTCAATCTACACATGCACATGTGTCGCCCCAATATCTCACACAATAATCTGTGGCTGTGGACAGCCTTGACCTTTGTGGGACCGAGGCTACCAGACACCAATGTGGTTGGCCACATGCAGCCCTAACATGCATCTAACACTGCCACACAACCAAGGGCAGATACCTGGAGCAAACCCACCAGACACTGGCGCAACATAAACAAATACACGAATTGCTGGTGTTGGGACAAGGTCTCACAGTCTTGTATCAGATTCACTGTGTTTGTCCACGCAATATGACGGCTCAACAGGGGGTGATCTTGGTCGCCAAACAAACAACGAAATGAAGACATTAAATACTGCCCCATACCGCCAACAGAGGCTGCTGGGAATAAAACTGGCATTTCGACATAGTATCATACTGTTGGTTGACTTAGCGATCGATCTGGCGTTCACGGAGAGGTGAGACAAAGACAATACGGAGACTTGTTGGGGATTGTAATCCAGTCACTGTTCTCGAGACGATTGTTTATTGTTGTTATTTGTCTGTATGAATGGTCAAAGGCAGCCGACAAACGAATGTTTACTGGGTGGAAAACATGGTCATAAACTTGTCAAGTATGTATCGAAAATCTCCATAGGTATTGGAGTGACCTTGCCCGTAAATCCATTATTCCTATGCGTAGACACAAAACATTGAATATAACGCCTAAGTGACTACAAATAATTCCTTTGTCAGATTTTATGACAAATTTAACAAATATGCTATCTTTTCGCGCACAACACAGAACGTTTTGGTTGGTGTAGCAGCGAGATAGCCCATGCTATATCACACAATGCCCCCACTATAATGTACATTCACTTCAAGTCGTGGGACTTTTACCTCCCGACGAATGCATTAATGGCTTCCATTAGTGTGGTCACACGCCACTTGCAACATTGACGACGACTGCCTGAAGCAGTGTTCACGTTACAGATGATGCAGTCACTATAGCATCTTTTGACATGGTCACAAAACATGACTTGTTGAAAAGGCAACAAATGAAATATGTTGACAGTGAATGTACAACACGTGTTGCACACATCAGCAGGCACCTGGGATCAGTGTATTTTATAAGTATTATTATTTGGCTCGCCATGATTCGTCGTGGAATCGCAGAAAAAGGTATGGCGATGAAATGCGTATCGTCATGTGCACAGCGGATCCAGACCAACATTCCGTTGCATCAGCCCAAACTGCCCCGTTACCGGATACCATTAACATGGCAGTGTCCACATATCGGAACCAGGGGTAAAGCATGTGTCTTTAAGGGGTTATCCTGCCTAATATCCCTAGCCTGTCGCTGCAGAGAGATTTGTGAGCATACTTCAATCTGCTTGTATATCAACCGGGGGACAACGGCGTGTTGGCCAGAGGTCAGATCAGGTGACCCCTTCGGACCACCAAGGTCAAATCGTTAAAGGGGGACATTCACACCTGAAGGGTTAACGTAAATCTGCCACAGTAGATTACCGTCCCCAACATGTATCTAGGCCCCTTCTGACCACCATGGCCCGACAAGCATCTGACGCCAGTCCAGTGTCGATGAGTCACACATTATTCATTTAAATATTTCACAGTTCACACGGAAAAAAAGAAACATTACCCCAGTAACACCGATACATACAAATGCACAGATGGCAAACTGCTGATGTTTGTAGGTCATTAAAACGTATGTTCTATTGAGACAACGAAAAACATGAGTCGTATATTTCCCTGGCTTACTACACACGGCTTAAAGCGCACCGTTTGACTTCCGCTATCGTGTTCAAAGTTAAGAGTATTTCCCCAAAATGAGGTTACATTGATAAAGTTATCAGTCTGGTACTCAGCAGTGCAGATGGTACGATAGCTGTACAGTAGTGTACGTGAGCTTAGTTTCCGACTTTAAACTGGGAGGAATGTGCCCTTAGCAACAGGTGCGTGGTGCTGGATGCCAGTGACTTGGACAGCACCGTCTTCATAGTCTCCTACAATTGGTTTATATATGCAGTAACTACGCCCTACCATGCTTAATCCGAACTTATTGTAGTATAATAAAGGCATTTCAGTGAGAACATGCGAATACGTTTAATGCTAAACGAAGGTGCTAAAATACGAAACAAAGCAGTCAATATGAAAACCCGGAATGCTTTTAGCATGAGAGGAAAGTAATAGAGAGGATCGCAGCTGGTTCGAAGATTATGGGAAAACACATCATGACGGCGTTCACGGCGGATGGGATACTTCTGCGCATGACAAGCTTGTCCAGGGAGATGTGGCATGTCTTCATTTGGCTGTTTCTTATTTTTGGTTTGTTTAAGGAAACACAAACGTGGTTAAAACTTATACAATCAAGAACATTTTCCTCGCGGGCCTTTCCTTTCAAAACAAAACTTTTAAACGTTGTTGAGGGGAAGTGGCGCTTTCAAAGAGACACGTTTCGCAGCTGAATTTCTTCATTTCTGAAACACTTCAATGGTTATACTACCAGGGGACAACCTACTAAAATATATATGTGCAGTTGTTATTGTCGCACGTATGCCACATACGTTTGAAATAATATCCGTCAAGAAACTCACTCTGGGCTTACAGCACACGCGCGTCTCCTGCCTACTTACATCAAGGATCTTAAAAACTCGAACTGCTCATAACGGATATTTCATTCATATTCAATCTTTTCTGAAGCAGAATGTGTGTGGGCACTATAAGGCCTGTACCCGGTGTATAGACAAGCTGGATGTCACGGCGCCCTTGCTACTGTTGACTGAAGCCAGGTTCCTTAACGGCGTCTGAATAAGGACTGGTACGTTTTTGTCGATATATGTGACGATGATAGGATACAGTGGCGTTCCCTGTTGACACAGACGTCGGATCTGAGAACACTCGTTACTGTCGACATGGTGTTCTCCCACGACATTGGGTACAAGTTGAGACCCACGTGACACGGATGTACTTTAACAAGGGTGTCTATGCATCTTACACACTACTTGATCAGATATTGAAAGACTCTGGTCAGACGCGGGCATGAGAACGGCGTAAGAAGGAGACGTGTTGAACATATTAAAACATCCCGCACAACAGGCAGCATGGAAATTGGCTGCCTCCATTTTTTTCGTAAAACATTACATCCAATCGCTAGTGATCGCGTTCACCTAATATTTACTCTGAGGGCAATAAGTACCAAACGCCTGACACGAGAAACATATGGGGTCGTAACAAAATGCGTATGAGATGTGATATTACTGATGCAGATAAAAACATGTTTCATTTGTATCAGCCCGTCTTTGTAGGCTACATCGGCTGTGTTGTTTGTGTGGTCGAGTGGTGTCACAGTTAACATTGTATGACGCCGTTTCTTTGTGGTAGTGACATTTACATGATGCGGTCCATTGTGTACCGCCAATACTAACACACTCAGTTTCTCGTTACTATGACCAGACCGATTGTTACGCTTGACCTTTGAAAGGCTGGTTAGCGTCTGCGACAGTTTGTGCTGCACGCCGGTTGAAACTCGGCTTCGTAGTCGTCAAACGATTGTGCAGAAGGATATGATGTACTTCTCAACTTTGGGGATAATTGCATTTGTCACATATATGTAAAATACACACTCGACATGTATTTTGACATATGTTGTTCAAGATAAAAATAGATATCACGAATGGAGCAGTAACATTCCAAATATTCTTTGAAAGTATGCAACCTTCTTGAGTCATGTAGATTGGAACTGGTCTATCCAGAACCCAAACTCAACTCTAAAATAGAATACATCACTGTCCATTGATAAAATATATTCTAAATGTTCTCGGTAGGAACGCGATACGCTGTGTGCAGATGTTTGACCTTGGTCGGGTAGCTCTACAGTCCACTCAGACCACGTGTTGGGGAGACACATGTTACAGGTAACGTCAATAGCATCCCCAGTGTGATTGCCTTTTAAGTGAAATCATGTCAAGGAACTTGGCCTCCATAAACATGCAACAGCC